GGCTGGGTTCTGACGAACCCTGCTGGGTCTCGTCGAACCCAACCTTGCTGGGTTTCCCCGAACCCAACTGCTGGGTTCGACGATGAACCCAGCTTTGCTGTTTCGATGCTGGATTCATGTTTTTCATTCTTCTTTCGATTTTCATTTCCAATTGTTAATAAATTTGAGAGTTGATTTACAATTTGTTTGTATTTTTATTAGAATTTGATTAGAATTTGATTAATATTGTTTATTGGAGGGTTAATTTGGTTTGATAAGATCTATTAAGTTTGAGGTTTCAATGAAACCCAGTAGCTGGGTTCAATTTCTCAAGTTCTCTTGAGAAAAGAGAAGAAGAAGAAATGAGTTAAGATCGGTTTTGTAGAGGAGTGGAGATGAGAGAGCATTAAGAGAAGAAGAAGAAATGGATTAAGATTGATTCTGCAGATGGAGTGGAGATTGATTTTGCAGAGAGTGAAGATGAGAAAGGAAGATGACGAGTGAAGATGAGAAAGGAAGATGACATGTCACAAAAAAAGTCCAAATCAGCGCTTGTTTAAGTTATTTTTGCCATGTCATAAACAAAATATAAAAAATGCCATGTGGCCAAGTTAACGACGAAAATTGACAAAAGGACTAACGGATTGCATTTCGTATAGTTGAGGGATCAAAAAAGTGCAAAAAATTGTTGAAGGACCAAAAATGTGCAACTGACTAAAGTTGAGGGACCAAATTTAGCATTTAACCTTTAAAAATCTGCAAGAGAGCCGGCTATAATTACAGAGCCGGCTGTAAAGCGAGTCCGGGTCGGCTCGCCTGTAGTTGATCCGGCTGGGGAACCTAGAGCCTGCTGTGGTTTAGAGAGAGAAGACTCAGTTTTTTTTTTTTTTGGTTGAGCCGGCTGTGAACCTAGAGCCGGCTATGGTGTAGAGAGAGAACACTCTTGGGTTTTTGGTTGAGCCGGCTATGAAAAGGGGTGAGCCGACTCTACTGGCCTTGATTAGGACAAACAGAAAGTTTGGGGCTGTTTTGAAGGGAATGCACCTTAAGTTGATATTTCTTCATTTAACTAAGTTTAAATTAGACATCAACTACTAGATAATGCAACTTTAGTCATATATCAATGTATGCTTCATCAAATATCATGAATATAATCAAGGTACACATATCAAAGTAATTAATATGCACAAATTTTAATAAGAAAATTTATTAATTTCAAGAATCATATCAAGCACTAGGATCAAACATACCAAGCTCATTTCTAATGAAGAAAAACCTATCACGATCAAGAGGCTTTGTAAAAATATCAGCTAATTGATTTTTAGTGTTCACAAATAATAAATCAACATCACTATTAGCAACATGATCCCTGATAAAATGGTGCCTAATTTCTATGTGCTTGGTGCGAGAATGTTGGATGGGATTTTTAGTGAAATTGATAGCACTACTATTATCACATTTAATAGGAATATGATCCATAGTAATGCCAAAATCCAAAATCCAAAATTTGTTATTTCATCCACAACACTTGAGCGCAACAACTTGCGGCGGCTATGTATTTGGCCTCGGTTGTAGATAGAGCAACACTATTTTGCTTTTTGGAAAACCATGATATGAGCATATTACCAAAAAATTGACAAGTTCCACTTGTACTTTTTCTATCAATTCTATAACCCGCATAGTCCGCATCCGAATATGAATGTAAGTCTAAGGAAGAACCCTTAGGATACCATAAACCAAGGTTGGGAGTATCCTTTAGGTACCTAAAGACTCTTTTAACCACAATTAAGTGTGACTCCTTAGGACAAGCTTGAAATCTAGCACATAAACAAACACTAAACATTATATCCGGTTTACTTGCAGTTAAATAAAGCAAGGAACCAATCATGCTTCTATAGAGTTTGGGATCAATAGGCTTACCTCCTTCATCCTTGTCTAGATTAATTGAAGTGCTCATAGGAGTAGCTATTGGCTTACAAGTCTCCATGCCAAACTTCTTAAGCATTTCCTTTGTATACTTGCTTTGGTTGATGAAGATGCCTTCTTTGGATTGTTTGGTTTGAAGTCCCAAGAAGAAGTTGAGCTCACCCATCATGTTCATTTCAAATTCACCTTGCATAGCTTTGGAAAACTCTTGACAAAGAAAATCATTAGTAGCACCAAACACAATATCATCAACATAGATTTGGACAATTAGTATATCTTGGCCTTTGTTTTTCACAAACAAGGTGGTATCAACTCTCCCTCTAAAGAAACCATTTGCAAGCAAAAAACTACTTAATCTTTCATACCAAGCTCTAGGAGCTTGTTTTAAGCCATATAAAGCCTTTGAAAGTTTATAAACATGGTTTCGATAAGATGGATCTTCAAAACCGGGAGGTTGCTCAACATAAACCTCTTCTTGAATATAACCATTTAGAAAAGCACTTTTAACATCCATTTGATAAAGTGTAAAACCTTTAAAGCATGCAAAAGCCAATAACATTCTAATTGCTTCAAGTCTAGCTACCGGGGCAAAAGTCTCATCAAAATCAATTCCTTCTTCTTGACAATAGCCTTTAGCAACTAGCCTTGCCTTGTTTCTAACCACAATTCCATTCTTATCTAATTTATTTCTAAAAACCCATTTAGTTCCTATGATGGGATGGTCTTCAGGTCTAGAAACAAGATTCCAAACCTTATTTCTTTCAAATTGAGCTAATTCTTCTTGCATAGCCATCACCCAATTAGGATAATTTAAACTATCATCAAGATTATTTGGTTCAATTTGAGATATAAAGGCAATGAAAGCACAAGTATTATGAGCATGAGATCTAGTAATTACCCCTTTTGATGGATCCCCAAGAATTTCATTAACTTTGACATAGGATCTTTCTCTTGGGAAAGTTGGTTCTCTTAGCTCATGTGTTTGTTGCACTTCTTCATGTTTGTCCTCCTCATTTTTCTCATCTTGAGCTTCCTTGGTGTTGTCCTCCTTGAGATTTATATCTTTTATTTGTTTTCCAATGGAATCTACATCATCATCATTACAAGACTTTCTAGAGCAAATAGGGTTAGTCTCATCAAATACCACATGAATAGATTCCTCAACAACTTTGGTATGTTTATTATACACACGGTAAGCTTACTAGAAGTAGAGTATCCAACAAAGATGCCTTGATCACTTTTAGAATCAAAATTTCCAAGAGAGTCCTTTCCATTGTTCAAGACAAAGCATTTACAACCAAAAACTCTAAAGTAGGAAATCTTAGGTTTTCTTCCTTTCTAAATTTCATAGGGGGTTTTATTAAGAATAGGCCTCACCATAACTCTATTCAACAAATAACAAGAGGTTGCAACGGCTTCAGCCCAAAAGGATTTTGGCAAATCATTCTCACAAATCATAGTCCTTGCCATTTCCTCAATAGTACGATTTTTCCGTTCAACCACCCCATTTTGTTGAGGAGTTCTAGGAGCTAAAAAATTATGATCAATACCATGTTCAATGCAAAAATCTTCAAAGTCATTATTTTCAAATTCTCCCCCATGATCACTTCTAATAGAAACAATAGTTAAACTTTTCTCATTTTGAAGCTTTTTATAAAGACATTTGAAAGCATCAAGTGCATCATTTTTATGTGCAAGAAAAGCAACCCATGTAAATCTAGAATAGTCATCAACTACAACAAGCACATATGATTTTCCTCCAATGCTTAGAGTGCGCATAGGTCCAAACAAATCTATATGAAGTAATTCAAGAGGTCTATTTGTAGAGATGCACTTCTTAGTCTTAAAGGAAACTCTAGTTTGCTTACCCTTCATGCATGCATCACATACACTATCAATATTTACATTCACCCTAGGCAAGCCATCAACAAGACCATGCTTTAATAACTTAGAGATAACACTCATGCTAGCATATCCTAATCTTCTATGCCACAACCAAGTATCATCATGAGATATAGAGGCAAGACAAATATTAGCATCAATATCATGCAAATCAATCACATACACATTTTTAAGTCTCTTGCCAACAAACAACACTTGATCATTTCTAGAATCAATAATCTTGCAATGAGACTTGAAAAATAGAACATTAAGCATGCGATCACATAATTGACTAATACTAAGCAAGTTATGCTTCAATCCATCCACATACCAAACATCATCAAAAGAAATAGATTTGTTACCAATTTTACCAATTCCTTTCACAATTCCTTTCCCATTGTCACCAAAGGTCACGATTCCACCATCCAAGGGCATGAGTGATGAGAATTGTGAAGGATCACCCGTCATGTGCCTTGAGCATCCACTATTTAGATACCATTTGTTCTTCATTTTGCTCACAAGGCACACCTACACAACAAAAATCAATTTTTGATCTTAGGTACCCAAATTTGTTTGGGTCCTTGGGGGTTAGTTTTTATGGTTCTTTTTGGAACCCAAATTTGTTTCACTTTACCTTGAGCTATTAATCTTTTTAAAGAACAAGCATAAGCAAAGTGTCCATTTTCACCACAACAATAGCAAGTAACATTAGGATGATAGGATTTACTTGCTCTTACAAAGGTAGTCTTAAAAGTCTTTTGCTTTTTAGAATAATCAAATCCAATGCCCCCTTTGTCATAAACATTTCTCTGAGATTTTAAGATAGAATCAAATTTTTCTTTACTCAAAGTAAATTTGGAAATTACATTTTCAAGATCACAAGTTTTTCTCTTTAAATCCTCATTTTCCTTCCTTAAATTCTCATTTTCCTTTTCCAAAGCATCATTAACTTTCTCATTTTTTAAAGAAGCAATCTCACCATTTAAAGAAGCATTTTCTTTAACCAAAACTTCATTTTATTTTGAAAGAGATTCAATATCATTTCTAAGTAATGAAATAGTTTTAGTAAGAGTAAGATTCTCATTCCCTAGTCTCTTAATATCATTCATAGAGTAATCAAGAACTTTGCATAAATCATCATAAGAATACTCAAAGGAACTTTCATTAATTGAACTAGAAAAGTTAGAGTTTACCTCCTCATCATTGTTGTCATCCTCTTGAGCCATGAAGCAAAGATTTGCAACACCTTTCTCCAAGGAGCTTTCACTTTCCGTTTAGCTAGTTTCATCATCGCTCTAAGTGGTAGCAAATGCTTTCTTCTTCATGCTCTTCTTGTTTTTCTTCTCACCTTTCTTCAATTTGGGGCATTCATTTCTATAGTGCCCCATCTTGTTGCACTCATAGCATTTCATACTCTTTTTGGTAGATTCTCCTTCATCTCTTCTTGCAAGCTTGCTCTTGATATTCTTCTTCATAAATCTCCTCACTTCTCTAGAGATTAAGAAGGAGAAGTTTTCACCATCACTAGCATCATCTTCACTCTTTTCCTTTTGGTTGCTAACTTTGAATGCAACATCTTTCTTCTTCTTCTCAACTATTTCAACTCCACCATCACCTTGCACTTCTATCTCGTATGTCATCAATTTACCAATGAGATCTTCAAGCTTGAGAGTGTTGAGATCCTTAGATTCTTCAATTCCCGTCTTCTTGGCTTCCCAACTCTTAGGCAAGCTTCTAATAACCTTTCTCACCACTTCTTGAGGAGGATAGACTTTACCAAGAGCCTTGAGATTGGTGACTATGTCATTCAATCTTGTATACATATCTTGAATACTCTCCTCCAGTTTCATCTTGAAAAGCTCATACATGTAAATGAGTCTATTGATTTTTGACTCCTTTACTTGGCTTGTTCCTTCATGAGTGACTTCTAGCATGTCCCACATCTCCTTAGCCGTATCACACCCAGAAACTCTATGGAATTCCGTTGGATTGAGAGCACATTGAAGCATGTTGATTGCTTTGTTGTTGATCATGATCTTCTCCAAGTCTTCATCATTCCAATCTATCTCTTCCTTTGGCACCTCTCTTTCTCCAACAATTTTTATGGGTACATATGGACCTTTCATAGTCACAACCCATGCCTTGGGCACATTTGAAAGCATGAAGACCTTCATCCTATTCTTCCAATAACTATAATTAGTACCATCAAAGAAAGGAGGCTTAGTGGTAGACAAACCTTCAACTGGTTGAGAAGATAGAAATTGAGCCATTCCCAATCAACTCCTAGGTGGTTAAACCTTCAAACTGGAGCCCTTGCTCTGATACCAATTGTTGACTCAATGTACTCCAAGAGGGGGGTGAATTGGAGTTCCAAAAATTCTCCCCTTCTTCAACCACAAAACCCAAATTAAAGAGAGTAGAGAATAAGAGTTTACACAATAAATTTATAGAGATTCGGTCCAACCACTTGGAGCCTAGTCCTTTACCTTGGCTTCACTCACCAAAGATTTCCTCCACACTCTTCACTAAGAAAGACAAGGGTGACTTAAATGAGCCACTCAATCCTTTTACAACAAGATGAGTATTTCTCTCAAACCTCACCCATTTACAATGTAAACCCTTCAAATTCTCTCAATAGATCACTCTTGAAGAAATCAACACACCCCCAAGATCACTCACTAATAGCACAAGAAAAGGATTACAAGCAATGATCACTCAAAGATCAAAAACTCAAGTTTAAGCTCAAGTAGGTAGGTAAAGATATGCAATGTTATTTATTCTAAACTTCTTCAGATCCATATTTATAGCCCCTTGCTCGAAAATAGCTGTTTCTAGCTATTAAGGGTCATTAAATGCTCTGTAGGACGCAAAGCTCGAGCTGCAGGTTTGTCAGGAGAGCTGGCTTAGCTTTCTAGAGCCGACTCTGCAGAGTTGACTTACACTTCCAAAGCCGGCTATCTGGGTTTGCAGGCCATTATGTTTTCCTCGAGAGCCGACTGCAAGACTTTGAGGTGGCTTTGGAATTTCAATTTTAAATATATTAAATACTCTTCAAAAGAGTCGACCGTTGTGCATTAAATACACCCTCATAGCCAACTATAAAGTTGGAGCCGGCTTTGCGTCTTTTCTCCACGCCCGCCAAACAATGGTCTTCAAATTTTTGCCTGTAGAGCCGGCTACAGCTTCTAAAGCCGGCTCTCTGCACTTCCATTTTACCAAAGCCGGCTGCAGCTTTTAAGAGCCGGCTCTCTGCACATTTTGAATCCTTTTGGTCTATTTTTAGTGCAATCCAAGTTTACTTGTAATCTTTTAGCAACTTAACTACACACTTAAATAAACCAATTAATCACTCAAATGTGTTTTGTAATCATCAAAATCATAGGTACAACAGTATAGTACTTTCTTCCTCTAATAATTCCTTTCAGCTTAATAATATTCTTGTCTCTCCCTCTACTACAAAGAATTTAGTTTCTGTTTGTCAATTTACCAAAGATAATGATTGTAGTATTGAGTTTGATTCTTTTGGTTTTTCTGTTAAGGACAACAAGACGAAGAACATTTTTTATCGTTGCAATAGTCAAGAGGGATTGTATTCTTGGTCTAGTCTTCCTTCTAGTTAGCAGTCTATGTTATCTACTATTACTATAGTGTCTCTAGATGTGTGGCATCTTCGTCTTGGACATCTAGGGTCAGAGTCTTTTGCTCAACTTGTCAAGCGTGGCTTGATTTCCTTAAATAAGAAGACTTTTTCATCTACCTCTTGTCATGCTTGTCAATTAGGCAAGCACGTGCGTCTTCCCTTTTTAGAATCTATGTCAGTTGCTTCAGCTCCATTTGATTTAATACATTCGGATATATGGACTTCTTATGTTGAGTCTTTTACTGCTCGCAAATATTATTTATTATTTTTAGATGATTATAGTCATTATTTATGGGTTTATCCTTTGCATTCTAAGTCTCAAGCTTTCCACTATTTTCTTCATTTTTCTGCTTATGTCTCTACTCAGTTTGGTGCTCAAATTAAAGCTTTTTAATGTGACAATGGTCGTGAATTTGATAATTTAGATTTTGCTACATATTTTCAAACACATGGTATACATCTTCGATCTTCTTGTCCCTCAACTCCTCAACAAAATGGGAGAGCTGAGAGAATGAATAGAACCATTATGAATATGGTTCGCTCTTTATTATTTCAAGCAAATTTGCCTAGTAAATTTTGGGTGGAAGCACTTTATGTGGCTGTCCATCTAATTAATATTTTACCATCTTCTAGGTTACACTTTTTAACACCTCATGAGGTGTTATTTGGTTTGCCCCCAACATATGATAATTTGAGAGCCTTTGGGTGCACCTGGTATCCAAATATTCTTGCCATTGCTCCACATAAGTTGGCACCTCATTCCACTCTGTGCATCTTCCTTGGGTGTCCTCCACATCATAAAGGATACAAGTAACTTGTTTTGAGAACAAATAAAGTTATTGTCTCTCGACATGTTGTCTTTAATGAGGCTATTTTTCCTTGTAATGCTTATTGTTCACCATCGAGGACCACCATGCTTCCTCCACCTACCTTCAAACATCCTTTTCATTTATTAGATGAACTTCAGCCTATCTCTAGGAACATATACCACATTCTGTCATCTACCTTAAGCCCATCAAGCCCACCACCATCCAGCCCATCTACCTCAAGCTCCCCACGCTTTAGTTCCAATTCACAACCTTCCAACCCACATATCTCTAGTCTGCAACCTACGTCAAGCCCACCTATGACTTCCACCACTTCTTCTCTTAGAGAATTGCCCTAAACCATGTCTCCTGCATCTGTGGCGGCTGTTCCCCCAAAATCTGATGTCTTTATTTTTTATTCCATTCTGCAGGAAACTGTTCAACTTGTTGTTTCTTCTCACAGTTCTTGTAGAACTCATTCTATGGTGACCAAGTCTCAGGATGACACAAGAAAGGTTAGCACTCTCCCATCTATGGTTGCGGCTGTATCTGATAGTCAAGAACCTCGTACATTCAAACAAGCCTAACAATCTCCTTATTGGCGGCATGCTATGAAGGATGAGTACTCTGCTCTTATGCGCAATAAAACTTGGTTCTTATTCCGTGACCTCCAAATGTGAATGTTATTGGGTCGAAATGGGTGTACAAAGTTAAAAGGCTTGCTAATGGTTCTCTTGAGAGGTATAAATCTTGACTTGTTGCTCAAGGTTATTCACAACAATCTGGGGATGATTATGTTAAGACATTTAGTCCAGTAGTAAAACTGTATTAGCTCTTGTTGTCTCACAGTTTTGGAAAATTCATAAATTGGATGTTAAGAATGTGTTTCTAAATGGTCATTTATCTGAGCTAGTTTATATGCATCAACCTCTTGGATTTGTTAGCGAGCAACATCCTGATCATGTTTGCTTATTACAACAAGCTCTTTATGGTCTAAAGCAAGCTCCTCATTCTTGGTTTCACCGCTTCACTTCATTTTTACTGTCTCGTGGTTTTGTATAGGCTTCTTCTAATTGCTATATGTTTGTTTTTCATTCGGATGGTTCTATGGCTATACTTCTTTTATATGTGGATGACATTCTTCTTACCACCTCTACACCATCTCTATTGGGTTTTATTATTTCTTTATTGAAGGTTGAGTTTCTGATGACTGATTGGGGCTATCTTAGTTATTTCTTGGGTATTGCAGCTCAGTTTAATTTTGATGATTTGATTCTCTCTCAGACTAAATATGTCCATGATTTACTTGAAAAGAGTGGTATGGTTGATTGCAAAGCAATTTCTACTCCTTTAACACCTAAGCACAAACTTCAAGCTAATGACAGTCCATTGTGTTTGGATGCTTCTCTTTATCGTAGCTTGGTAGGAGCCTTGCAGTATTTGACCTTTACTCGACCTAACATTGCCTTTGTAGTAAATCAGGTATGCCAATATTTGCATGCACCTATTGAGAATCATTCTGTTGCTGTCAAGCGTATTTTACGCTATTTGAAAGGTACTATACATCATGGCTTATAGTTATATCGTGACTCTTTACCCTCTCTATATGCCTTTACGGATGTTAATTGGGCTGGTTGTTTGGATACATGTCGTTCTACTTTTGGATTTTGTTTGTTCTATGGTCATTCTCTTATTTCATGGTCTTCCAAGAAGTAATCCACTGTTGCTTGTTCTGGTGCTAAGGCGGAATATTGAGCCCTTGCCAATGCTGTTGCTGAAGTTCTTTGGGTAAAACAACTATTGGCTGAATTGCATCTTTTTCCCTCATCTACATCGACTGTTTTTTGTGACAATCTTAGTGTTATCTATATGACACTCAATCCTAGGGGTGTTCATGGCATTGTTTTAAAAATCGGATCGGACTGGCCGGTTGAACT